ACCTCGGGTTAAGAACTTTGCTTCAGGATGAGAACAGAAATTGTGCTCTGGCGGCACGGCGGCAGCAGGAGGCCCCATTAGCTAAAGTGGTCTTCAGGTTAAGAACAGTTTCAGGTTAAGAACGGACCTCCAGAACAAATTAAGTACTTAACCCGAGGTACCACTGTACCTAGGGACGCGGATGGTGCTGTGGGTTAATCCACAGAGCCTAGGACTTGCTGATCAGAAGGTTGGTGGTTCGAATCCCCGTGACGGGGTGAGCTCCTGTTGCTCGGTCCCTGCTCCTGCCAACCTAGCAGTTCAAAAGCACGTCAAAGTGCAAGTAGATAAATAGGTACCGCTCCAGCGGGAAGGTAAATGGTGTTTCTGTGCGCTGCTCTGGTTCACCAGAAGCAGCTTAGTCATGCTGGCCACATGACCCGGAAGCTGTATGCCAGCTCCCTCGGCCAATAAAGCAAGATGAGCACCGCAACCCCAGAGTCGGTCAGGACTGGACCTAATGGTCAGGGGTCCCTGTACCTTTACCATTGTACCTGTAATTTCCCTGCCAAAAATGTGACAGGCATGTGTTGCCAGTGTACATTTTAAAAGTCCCAATAAGTTGCTCTGGCTTCATTGACCCTCTCCCATTCAGATTCCCAAACACTAAGTAGCATTTCCTCTACCCCAAAGCATTTTTAAGCTAGATATAGTTTTTATATATAGTGTTCTTCCAACTTCTGATAAGTAAGAATCAAACTATTATCATGAAAAAGAATATGCAACTACAGGTGAGATTAAGAATGTACAGGACATTTCAGTTGGCACTATATGAATAACCAAATATTCATAACTTGCCTATCGTGCCTTGCTTTGGATTTATGTATATCAGAAAGAGAATAAAGCTTTTGGATGACATGGCTCACCAAAGGCATGGAACATTAAGCTTATGAGACCTTGGCGGCTCTGCAAGGTGAATTGAATGCTGTGGTGATTTTTCTCTTGGCCTCCACAATGAATCTTATTTCACTTTGGTGTCTCTTCTTTTCTCTATCGAAAGGAAGAATCCAGAGAGCCTCAATTCAATTTGCAAATTGTACAAATTTGCCCATTAACTAATTTGTCATTCAGCAAGGAAACGAATCAGTTTTTATTGCTCGTATTGATTTCACTGTGATAAGAGTTTTCAATGCATTTCACTTCAGCTGAAGGAAAATTGGGCATGCCTTTGCATTAATGTTCAGAATTTTTCTCACGTACGCATGTACAGGCATGCAATATTTGAAATCAGTAGAGTTATGCCAGAATTACATTGATTTTAATGAAATTAGCTCCTGGCTTTGCTGCTACAGGTGGCCTTTTACTTATGCAGGTATTCTGGATGAGTGATTGAAACTTTTGAAGAAAAGAACCCATATCATCTCACTAATTGTTGAGCCTATCCCTTCAATGTTAACCAGGAATACCAGGTTCCTGGAAACGTATGTTTCCTATATTTTGAGGACGTTGTCTTTTTTTCCATTACCCTCCCCACGCCAATCAGGTTACCTTTAATAGGTAAAGTATAACAAATGACAGTTTCATTACCATGGTAACATACTTTTTCTTACATGTGATCAAGTTGCCTGCCTCCCCCCCCCTTTCTTCTTTTTTGCTTTGTTTTAGAAGAGTAAAGATCACAGATGTAAGGAACGTGGGTTCCCTTTGCCATTTAATACATGGAATAAACACATTTAAGGAAAGGATCTATACCCTAATAATAGAATATGCTTATACTTAATTACTCACCGCTGTTATTTTGAAAGCATAGTGCTGTAGACAAACAGGGTGACTCTCTGCTCCATGGAGTAATTAATAGTGTTGTTTATTGTGCTATAAGTTTTCTCTTTTTGTCAGACACAATTTGTTAAGTAAATTAGAAGCTGAAATGCATATGGGCTTAAAATATAGCAAATAATAAAGCATTACCAAGGATTTAATGATACTAAAATAGCTTAAGGGAAAAATAGCATTCTGATGAGAACAGTTGCCATGGTAATGAGTTAAAACCTCCAATATTTAATATGTGCACAATTTTGGAGCCTCTAAATTTCTACCTATGTTTTCAGAAGCAAACACAAACAGATGGGAGAACATGAATTGATGTTCCACTATGGACAAAGTATCGCCATCTTAATCCCGACCCAATCCACATTATTTAGAACTTGCACTGAAAAGCATGAAATCTGTTCAAAAGAAAAAGTGTTTAAGACTGGAGATCAAGATATCTTCATGCACCAAAGCACAGACACTTGTAAGCAGCTATATCCTGTGGTCATCATGTGGTATAAAAGTCCCTGCGGGAGGTCAGTTGCAGTCTGTTTTTTTTCATATTTTAGTATGGATTTTATTAATAGGTAGAATTTACTCCTTAAACAGGCAGAGTGCTAGATGGAAGCTAAATTTTCATCCTGGGGCAAATTGTTAAATACTAGTGCTGTGCCAAAAGTTTCTTTCACATTTTTTTTACCTGCTACTGCCCTGAGACCTCTTGGTATAGGGAAGTATATAAATTCAATTAATGATAACAATTAATGAGAAAAGAGATTGCAAACAAAAGCTATCAAATGAAAGATAATTTTGGTGCATCATTGTGGATGGGATGCAGGATTTTCGTTATTGTTGTTGCACTCACTTTTCTTTGGGGGCAGCCAAGGGACTGTGAGAATGTCCTTTCCTTCTACCAATATTTTCTCAGGTGGTCTGGATTAGTTAGTTTGTGTTAGCTAGATAGGTGCATATGAAAATGCAAACCAAACTGAATTTCTCCCCCATCCGTATTGGTTTTTGTGCTGCACTGTGGAAAAGGGACTCTACTTCCTCACAGCACCTTACAAAATCACTCGAGGTTTTCTCATGAGAACAAAATCTATAGTTGCTCCATATAAACAGGGCAACCACTTTTGCCCTTAAATACAGAAATGCTGTTGTAAAATGTTTCTGTGGTTGGGGATATATAAATATTCACCTTCATTTTATTCCACGCACTTAATAAACAAAGCACAATGTAATTGTTCTTTCGCTTCCATAAAGGAGAATTGAGATTCCACCCCCCGCCTCTGTTGTTCCAAACACACCCAGGGTATCTCAAATGGATTTATGATACAATAAAAAATGGCCAATAACTGAGCATCTTTATAATAAATTTTCAAATTATTAATGTCCATACCCTGCCAATTCTCTGCTGTAATACTCTCCTAGGTACCTTAGATCCCTAGACCCTCGCCCATCATTTATAAATTTACCCAGGTTCCCATAAGCATCTATTTTATATATTAATTGGTACTAATAATAATAATAATAAAATTCAGCCAGAACAATTGCTGCCAATTTACAAACATCTTACTATCTATTCTACCTTGTTATCTTTCTCTTATTTCCTTTTATTTCCTTCTCGTTATCACCACACACAGAGATAAAATTAACTGGGAGAGGGATCCAGTGATTATGGCTACAGTCTTACAGCAATTTAAGCTGGGTGTTAGCCCTACTGAATTTAATGTAACTTACTTCTGAGTACAACATGTACAGCAACGAAATGATATGAAGAGAGGTTTATTTTATTATTTTAAAGATAGCAGCAGCAGCAGCAGCAGCAGCAACAACAACAACAACAACAATACTTGTGCTTGTTTGTAAATTTTGGGGCCATGTTTTACAGGAAATCAAGGATATAGTGGGCATACTGATCTATTCAGATCCATAACTTTGTTTGCTGTCCATTTTCACAAATGGATTTGCTTGTAGCCACTCAACTAACCATTGCCAAGGGATGGAGGATTAATTCGGCCTTTTATCTTGATACCTGGTTCAAGAAGGTCTTATTTATTTATTGAAATATCTGAAAAACTATTACTAATTGCAGTATCTCAAAAACTCACTCATTATTTTCCAGTTTCCAGGAGCAAAGCCAAACCTATGGATTATGCAGCTATATGGTGGTCATTCCAAAGACAAGCTTATGGCTGATGAGTTCTTGCAAAGTATAGGTTTGCCTGTATTCCATGACATATTATTGCTGCTCCATTGTGCTCCCATGGAATCATGACCATATTATTGATATCATTGTTATTATCTCTCTGCAACATAGGAGCCAACTCCTAGGGTCCCTTTGCCCCCCCCATATAATATTTGAGGGGGCCGCCTTCCCAGTGTGGATGGGCATTGTCAATCAAATGGTATGTGTGTGATGCATCTTGTGATTGATTCTTCAGGGCACGGCTTAGCTATGCCCCACCCCCAATATTTTATTCAGGTTGGCACTCCTGCTCTGCAATAACCATTTTTCCACTCTGTGCAATTTTCTTTCTTAAGTTGTGGACCATATGATGTCAAACAGGCAAGCCATTGTTCATTTTTGTCAAACATTTGTATTGGTATATGTAGCAAAATATCATCTTCATCATTGTTTTGTCTACAAATGGATGCAGGAAATGGCAGGAGTTAAGAAGCATAAGCTGCTTTAAGGGAAACCAAATAAGGTAGAAGTGAATTACTAACAGAACAGTTGCCTAGGGTTGAGCATTTACAGATTCTTGGGCAAATATAGCTACAAGTTAAATGTTGTGTGGAACCATAAGTTTAATCCCACAGAGAAGCAAAGCCTCTATAGAACGAAAGGGACTAGTATTGATCCATCCTTCCTCATAATGAAACAGACTTGTAGCTATATGTAACTTGCATCTAGAGGTTACCATGTTTATTGTTTTTTTATTTATTAAATTTCTAAGCCACTCTTTATCCGAGGATCACAGGGCAGTTACTTTATCCATTAAGGTTTCATATGCTACAAATCCAATACCCTTTTTGTGGTGCCCAGACCAAGCAAGTTGCCAGGCCCCTGCAGGGGTGGGGCCAGGTGGGTACATTTGTCCTGGGCATTGGAGGGCTTAGCTGGCATGAGGGGGGGCGCTCCCAGGGACCAGCTGCTTTTTTGTTTATCGTAACAAGACTCCTGGATCAAGCCGCAGACAAGCTCTGCCTGCCCCTGCAAGTTGCAGTTAGTTCTCATGGAAATCAGTGGAACATGTCACATTGATTTCCATGAGAACTAACTGCAACTAGCTGATTTAACACAGGACCAGGTGAAGATGGATTAAGTAGAGGTATCCTTCTGCTTACCTCCACTGGCTGAGCCAGCCACCCATTCCTCCTGTCCCACTCTTGCCTTCTGCCTCAGTCTCCATGAGTGGCTGGTCTGCAGATGTGGTGGTCGCCTCAACAAGCATCGCCAGCATGGGAGGCTAAGTGATTCAATTGTGCCCTAAATCTAGCCCTGACCCTAACCCTTTTTGTCATTTTGGAATTTGATTAATTCCCGTTTTTAGCTGCATCCTGTAACGTGGGATACACACACACACAAATGCACACCCACATCAAATTTCAACTCTAAAGACAACTCTAATAGATGTAGTAGACTGACGTAGAACCAATTCACAGCAACGAATCAGATCCTGGGATTTCTTTCCCAATAACAATAAAGTTTAGCCTTGGGTTGTAAGTGCTTTCTTGAAAATATTTGTGTTGAATTGACATGTTGGTCATTGCACAGTCAATGCCAAATTATTTAATAACTTTTAAACTTTTTGCTTTAGGGTTGAATAATATCTCAGCTTTAATATAGTCTTCCTTGCCAAGGGTTTTATTTATATTTGCTCATTTTCGCTTCTTGTAGCAAAACTAATTCATTACAACAGGAAATGCTTGGCTAAAGAAGGATGCTTTTGAAAAAGAAACTGAATTAGAGGCCAAAGGAAGCCCTGATACATCAGTAAAGAGCACACCATCTGCACTGCTGTGTCCCACTGGCTATAAAATATATAACCACCGTTCTTCGACTATACCGAAAAGGCTCTGCCTAACGGTCTCAAAAAAATATGCTGCTTTATCTCAGCTGTTTTACAACCTTAAACAATAGGGCAGTCCTCCTGGGAAAGTGAATGCCAATATGGTATATGATTACTGCATGAGTTACCTAGGCAGAAAAATGTCAAGAAAAATATAATAGGCTTTGGGGGCAATGGATCTTTTTTTAAGCAGAAATGTACGATTGCTTCTTCTGACTTATTTATTCTGTAACACTTTCCTGATTTAACAGCAACTAGGATAACAGCTAATCAGTTACACTTTACCAATCAAAACTCCAAACACTCTGCCTTTTAATAATAGTAATAAGGGTGTTGTTGTTGTTGTTGTTGAAAAAGTGATCCAAATAACATGTTGCTCTAAAAGGGATGTTAAATATACTTTTTCATAGAAAATCATCATCATCAACAACATCAACATCACCACCACCACCACCACCACCACCACACCACTATATATGCTTAATGCTCAGGTAGATATCTGTAACCAGAGAGATATATTTCAAATCAACATGTGAAATTCAAGCTGTTTCTCCTTGCTTTACACTAACCCTTACTTCATTGGATCAGTTCCTGCAACATTCGGTCTCTTCCATCTATACAGCTCTCATTTTTCCCTGCTGTGATGCCTCTAAGCACATTATCAGTTGGTTTCTACATCTCCTGAGCTTTCCTCCCCCTTTACTCCTTCACCCAACTGCCCTACGTTTGTGAGATCAAAACAGAATATGTTTGTGTTTGTCTATATCTATCTATCATATATCTATCATCTATCTATCTATCTATCATCTATCTATCTATCTATCATCTATCATCATCTATCTATCTATCTATCTATCTATCATCTATCTATCTATCTATCTATCTATCTTCTATTGTGATATATCCTGCTAATACATGTTACATCCACTCACACAAAATATAAATGCAATCAAGGAAACCAATTGTTGCATTATGGTGGCTTTAAGGAGAGCATTTCATAAATGTACAGAAAATAATGAATCAGGAGGTAGTGGTATAAAAAAGGTAAAGGTACCCCTGCCCGTACAGGCCAGTCGTGTCCGACTCTAGGGTTGTGCACCCATCTCACTTAAGAGGCCGGGGGCCAGCACTGTCGGGAGACACTTCCGGGTCACGTGGCCAGCGTGACGAAGCTGCTCTGGCAAGCTGGCACCAGCGCAGCACACGGAAACGCCGTTTACCTTCCCGCTATAAAGCGGTACCTATTTATCTACTTGCACTTAGGAGTGCTTTCGAACTACTAGGTGGGCAGGAGCTGGGACCGAAAGACGGGAGCTTACCCCGCCGTGGGGATTCGAAACTCCGATCATGCAATTGGCAAGCCCTAGGCGCTGAGGTTTTACCCACAGCGCCACCCAAGATTCAGGGTAAGTGTTTGTTAAAAGATAACTTGGTCCCTGCCCACCTAGCAGGAGCAGGGAACCAGTGGTCCTTCAGGTGTTGCTGGACTACATCTCCTATCACCATGTACTGTTGGCTATGCTGACTGAGGCTGATGGGAACTGGAGTCCAACAGTTCCCGTGGGGGGCCACAGGTTTCTCATTCCTGCTTGGTAGGATTATTAGACAGAAACTTGTTGAACTAACCTTATATACTAAGAAAGCAACTATATTTTGAGCATTATGCACAGAAATTTAGGAAAACAATATTCTCAAGATGGGAACCTGATTTAATAGGAAGAAACTTCTTTTCATGGGACACTCTCACTAAAGGCAGGGAGGTGGTGGTTTTTACCACTCCCTCCTTTCCCCTATGATTTCCTGAACCTCCTAAAAATCTACTCCAGAGGTTTGCGAGTTCTATTGGGACAATGTGGGAGGTGGCACTGGAAGCTGAGGGAAATGGTTAAAAGTAGCCTCCTCTGCCATCTTTCCTCCACCAGAGGCCTGTGCTGAATCTCAGTCCCTTCCACAAATGGAAGCCCATCCATTCCCATAAGGGCAAGTCTATTTGATTATAACTTTCTGAAGGGCATCTTCTGCAAACAAGGTTTGACTTCATTGAAATGAATGAAGAAACCTACATGCACACAGAGGTTCCAGTGTCTTCAATGAATCACTGGATCAAGATGCCTTTATGCAATAGTGAATACCTTAGTGCAAGTGATGCATTACTTTTTCATGAAAAGAGACTGGGGAGACAATACCTTAGGTTGCACCTTACTGTCACCATGCACTAGACCAGGGTGGTCCAACTTTTCTTTTTTTTTAAATGATATTTATTGAGAATTTTAAAGTTACAAAGAAAAAAAGAAGAAGGAAAAAATAAGAAAAAGAGAAAGAAAAAGAAAAGAGTAAATAAGAGTAACAATTAAACAATACAAATCAATAAAAACCAAAATCAAAAAGAAAAAACAAAACACACAATGCAACACAATCAAAAAACAAAAATATACAACAAATTTAAAAACAAATCCAATATTCCCAAATCCTTAACTTTCATTAACTTACTTCATCGACCTCCTCACGCCTCCCTTTTTTGTATTCTAGTTGTTAATTATCTCAGCAAATCCTTTCCATCTTTCACAATATTCTGTCATTAAATTACCTTAATCTATTTTAACCTTATCTTACCATAAAAAACCTTAAAACTTAAAAACTTAAATCTTATTTATACCGAATTCTTTTAACCATAACATATTCTTACATAATTCTTTTTAACATTTCTGCTAAAGCCAATTAATTTCATTCCATCATTTTTCTGATACTCATTAATTTTACGATACTTTTCTAAATAAATTTTTAAAACTTTCTTCCAATCTTCATCCATCGTCTCTTCTCCTGGTCTCGGGTTTTGTCAGTCCTTTCTATCCCATCCATCTAGTCCATCAACCTGGTGACCTTATATCCGAGGCTCTTAAGTCTTTTCCATGTCCCTTCCGCAGGTCTTCTTCATGTTTATACCTGTACTTTACTTTGTCTTCTGCTCCTGTCACTCTGGGAGACTCCAGCTTGACAATATTTTTGTCCCTTCTCGACAAGTCATCCCCTTTTCCATAGTCAATGCTGAAATCCATGTGGTATTTAAAGGCATGTTTCAAGGCCCCTCCAAAATTAGGGGCCCCCACAACTCCGAGCTCCCCACGGCCTGAAGCCAGACTTGGAAAATCAAAACATCTCTGCATAGGGGGGTCCATCCAGCCCCCCATCTCCAAACCAAGCAGAACGCCGTCTCTCCAAATCTGACTTTTTCCAGGCTCATTCATCAAATCCAACGACTCATGTTCCTGCTGGGCCACAGCTCCCTCCATCTCCGCCACCCAAGGTCCAGCAACAGCCTCCTCCTTCATCTCATCTGTCAAAGCACATTCCTGGATTGATTCCTGAATGGGTTCTATATAGGTACCCACTGCCTGTCCAAAATTTCCTATCGCAACTGTCATCAAATCCATTTTCTCATGTAACTGTTCCAATAAAGCACTTGTCTTGCAAAAGCCAAGCACCAGAGCTTCTGAGCACATTCTTATTCAAGGTCGAAGTCTGGTCCCACGATCTTAATCTTTTACAGCTGCAAAACTCAGGGTGGTCCAACTTTTCATACCAAATGGGCCACAAAAATACTTTGACATGGAACCCATGGGCCTCACACTGCCTTGACATGTAGTGGGGGACTGAAGCCAAAAATTGATGCCTCCACCCCCCCAACCTCACACTGCCTTCTGGAAGCTGGAAAGGTGCTAACTAGGCTTTGAGAAGGAAGCAGGGGTACTCTAGTCAAAGCCCTCGTGCCTCCTTCCCAAAGCCCAGCGCTATACTTACCCAGCTTTGGGAAGACAACATGAAGGCTGGACGATAGGGGCATCAAATGTTGCTGAGGGCTGCCAAAAAAGGCTTTGAGGGTTGCATGGAGCCCTCAGGTTGTGCATTTGTCTAGACATTTCTCAGACGCATTCAAAATGGTGTCAGTTTGAGAGTAACATCAGATAACAGTTTAGTCATTGAAACAAGTGCCAGAATAAGACATCAATAAGCACAGCAGCTGGCCAACTGTTTATGCTTTTAGGACCAGCTTTCTCAATCAAAAGCACAGACAAAAGGTAGAAGTGCATGGTGCTTTTCCAGTTCACTGAAGAAAATGATTTAAATGCTGCTGCCAGATTTCTCAAAGGAACAAATAATGCTGCCAATACTGTTTATACCAAAATGTATGATATAGGATGGGGAACACTAAACCTCATACTTTAGAGATTTCTTGTATTTTCTTCAAGAAGCGAAAAGTAAATTTCCACCCTACTCCTCACATACAGAACTGCAGATGGACTGGTTTTATGATGGGGGTGGTTTGTTTTCTTTCTTCTGTTTTTCTTTGCTGAAGTGTTAGGTATTGATCACTTTGGGAGACAGAATACAGAACTTCATGGATCAATGGCCCAATCCGATATTGTATCCTATGGATTTATGCGTCTTTCACGTTATCACTTTGCCTCCTAAGATTTAGTGTGTCATTTGGGTAGGTACAAGTAGGTTGTTTGATAATTTATAATGCAGTGCAGGTAGGGTGAAAGTAGGATATGAATCATGATGGTTTCCCCAAGTACTGGAATACATCTAAGAGAGGCATAAGAATTGCTTTCCACCAGGTCAGGGGCAGGGAGATTCAGGAAGATGGGCTTTATAAATATATGTAAATATAGTTAATATAATCCAGTGAGGGTGGAAATAATAAAAACATACAATTCAAAACAAATAAAAGAAGAAAAATCTGTTTGTACAATGATAAGAAATAAAGACATAGAACAATGCCAAGTAAAGATTTATAATTTAAAAAAGGTAAGGAGGGAGAAGAATTGATGCTTTTGAATTATGGTGCTGGAGTCCCATGGACTGCAAGAAGATCAAACCTCTCCATTCTTAAGGAAATCAGCCCTGAGTGCTCACTGGAAGGACAGATCCTGAAGCTGAGGCTCCAATACTTTGGCCACCTCATGAGAAGAGAAGACTCCCTGGAAAAGACCCTGATGTTGGGAAAGATGGAGGGCACAAGGAGAAGGGGACGACAGAGGACGAGATGGTTGGACAGTGTTCTCGAAGCTACCAGCATGACTTTGACCAAACTGTGGGAGGCAGTGGAAGACAGAAGTGCCTGGCGTGCTCTGGTCCATGGGGTCACGAAGAGTCGGACACGACTAAACAACAACAACAAAGAAGGGAGACATTGTAAAGGTTATGGGATTATAAATGTGTGGAAAGGGTGAATAGGAAGATGATTTTCTCTGTCTCTTTTAATACTAGAACCCAGGGCCATCCAATGAAGTGGAATGTTGGAAGTTTAAGGATATATATAAAAAAGACCTTCACACATCACACCATTAAACTGTGGAATTCACTCTTGCAATATGTTGTGTTGGTCTCCAAGTTAAATGGCTTTACGAGAAGATTAGACAAATTGATGGAAGATCGCTACAAAAGTTGGATGCCGT